GCGTACCAATTTTCTTTAATTTTTTAGGTTTCTAGAATAAATTAGTAGAAGAGATTGTTAGTAGAAAGAGAGAGATTTCAAATGGCCTCATTGTATGAATCCTATATTTAAATTAATATTACTAAATTTATGTTAAAGACCATCATGTTATACAAATAAAAACATAATTAGACCATTTATTCCTAGGTTGTATTAAGAAATGCTTTTTATTTTTTTGACAAGAAATACTTATTGTGTTATCTTTTATTTTTTTTTACAAGAAAAATATGATACTTGTTGATTATCTTTTTTTTTTTTTGACAAAAGAAGAAGATGTTGTACTACATGTTTTTTGTTTGTTGTATTACTTTTTTTTTTTTTAACAAGAAAAATAAAAAAATGATGCTGCCAAAGTACATTTTATTTTTTTATGCCTTTTGTTTTATTTTTTTGCAAGAAATACTTGTTATATTACCTTGTATTTTTTTTACAAGAAAAATAAAAAAATGTTGTCTTATCTTTGTTATTTTTATCCTGAAAGGCCTTTTATTTTTTATTTTTTCTATTTTTTTACAATAGTATTTTCTGCTTTTGTTTATTTTTTTGACAACAAAAATAAACGCGGACGCGCGTTAAGGTTCGAACTCTAGACGTCCACCAAAAAATCAGAGTTGTCAAGCAACACCACCACGTCTCATAATGTGATTTTATTAGCTTCTATAATAATATATATTGAATCGTCTTGCTTTAATGATTTTTTGTGGGAATTATTCTACACCGAAAGATGAACGTCGCTTTGTTCTCTATAATTCCTTATGTAATAGATATTGCATTGCGCGTGTAGAAAAGCGAGAGGGCAGACATATGATATGTGTAAACCCGTGTTGCTCTGCTCCGGTGAAGCGGTCACGTATAAACCCGTGTTGCACCCATTACACCCGTGTTGCTCCCACTTGTTGGCGTTACACCCGTGTTGCTCCCGCTTGTTGGCATTAAGACGCAAATATGAGGACCAATCTTTCCATCCACTGTTAAGGCCAAAAAAGTCAAAAGGAAAAGTTTATATCAAGGTCGATTCCAATGCGTCCCTTTTTCAACGAAATATTTTTAAACACGGATGTAGGATCCGAAACATATTTTAAGTTTGATTTACTTTATGACATCATTTATTTGAGATGCATTTGTGTCTTTTTTTTTACTCAAAAAAATAAAGATTGAAGTTTCTATAAGGCTGGCTCTATGAAAATAAATTAAAGCCTCACCACAAATCCTTGTTTGGAATGCACTATATCGATGATCGATCTAAAATCAGTTTTCAACACCAACAATAAAATTTGAAACACAAAAAATAGTACAAATCTTGTGGATGTGTGAATATTTTTCGGGCAAAATGGACAGCCTAAATAGTTTATTGCAATATTCATTATTTTAAAGCTTTAAATCTTAATTTTATTTCACAAACATAATGTTCAAGTTGAGATGAGCGATGTTAAGGTTTTTCAATTGCAATTTTTAAGGTGAGGTTTTATATATTTTGATAGGGTTGCTATCTATCAAACCATTTTCCAAAAGTAAATATGTGAGCCAAAGTATTTCATGCTTCCAAGGTAGCACACTATCTATTTACTCCATCGGGTGAAACCGAGGAGTGTTTTTAAAATCCCAAATTTTTGGAAATGTAACCTTTTCAACATATATGCTATATTCAATAAAAATAAATTAAATTGCGTTTTATTTGGGCTTGAAAGAAAATA